CGTAATACCTGTACATGTACCATTGATTTTGACAGGAGTAGGGTGGAGCCTTTATTTTATATGCGTTACTGTCATTTTTTTCTGTTTTGTTTTGTCATGTTTTCATATACAAGGTTGTTTTGTTTATAATAATTTATAATGATACAGCTGTACATGTAAGCTGAGTCCAAAGGTCAAAAATGCTAAAATGTGCCACATGTGTATTTATGATGTCCTTAAAGATAACGGCAACACAAGTAACACAATTCATTTAATTTCACAATATTTTCAATAAAGGTAGAATTACCAGTTATTTTTAGTGGGTTTAGTGACTTTTTTGTATATTTGTTTCAGATTTTTCCTTGAGTGGTACAGGAGTTATTTCCAATGTTCTTGAAATTGAGTTGCATCACCTGAACTCTCCAAAAGATAAAGAGGTCAATGAAATACAGGTTCAACATGGGGAAGCTGTTTGTGGTCTGTGCATGAAGAAATGCTACAGGGGTATTCCAGTGGGTGTCAATTTATTTACAGTAATCATTTTTCCTCTTCACAAGATAACAGAAGTGAAGCTTATATACTGAATGCTCCCATCCATCAATACCCCATCTGTTTGGGGTAAATGTCACAAAAAAGAAACCTCACGTGTACTTCCTTGTGTTATATTTTTAGCATCTTTACAATATTATTTTTCTTGTACTTTGTGCCGTGCCCTGCTAAGTAAATCCATGTCCCTTTCACAGTGTTCTGCGGGGAACATAATGTACTGAAATTCTGTGAAGCTATATAGCTATGGAACATTTGCACTCGTAGAGGTTCCCCCACAGAGATATAAAGAGTGACAACATTATTCTTACAGAGTTAAACAATATTTACCACCCAATGCTCATTAATTTTGGAAAGGCTATCTTGCTATCGGATGCCCCTTCAAAACAGCAGTCCATGACTGCTCACTAGCACTGACATAATATAGCTTCAGAAATATGCCTCAGATATTATGTTTTCACTTGGCATTAATAAGTCATGGCAAAAGTTAGTGGCAAAGTGAAAGTAGAAAGTCATTTTCTGGAAGGGCAAAGAAAATGCCTTCAGAAAGATCCAAAGTTGAGATTTACTGTTTCATGGCTTCTGTCACTGATCAAAACAAATTTTTAGCTGGAGCCTTTTTTCTGTCCAGCAATTATAAAATATCATATTCCTATTTAAGGAGGAAAATCAAAGAGTTAGCTTACTGTGTGAATTCCTATACTAAATAAATCTATTAAAATTCGACTCATTTATTAGTGAAAAGGGTATAATAATATTGAAGGTGTAAACCCCATTGGTCTAAGAAGTTTAGGTTTACATGAAGAAATGCACCATGTTAATGTTGTTGAGTGAAGGCTGATATAAATCTCGCCAGTCTGTTGGAGCAGTTTAAAAAGACAAATCATATTGAACTCAAAATCAAGGTTGTAAAGAGCAGCAAAGAAATTATTCGTTCATGTCTGTGCTGAGTTTCTATTCACAAATTATATGAAATACAAAGCAATTTCACCATTTGTTGTAGTATTGGCTGTTGGGCTTTCAAAATGTGGTTATTTTTAGGAGGCTCACCATCAAGATGTGGTCATCTCTAGGTAAAGTCAGTGAAAACTAGAACAAATAGCGGTAAGACCAAAATTATCAGTTTTGATGTGAAGTTCCTTGAATAAATGGCCATGAGGAAATTGTGTACAAGTGAATAATCTCAACCCTGACTTTGAAATGCACAGAACTTTTTTTTTGGACCAAATTTAAGGTACTGTGTGGGTGGTCTTGTTATTGTTAGCTTTTTAATAATAATATTATGATGTAGAAAAAATACAGTAAATTAATAATCTGACTAGTGGACCTTTGTCCAGTAGATTTGTTGTGGTGTATTTACTTTATGTAAAGGGGAGGTAGTGTGGGTCCTCTGTAACTATATACAACAGTTACTGTGTCATTTTGAATTTTCAGTTTTAGTAATTGGAGATCCCTGCCCATTGTGCGACCCTAGGCTTTACTATTATCAAATGACAGAAGAGGAATGCAACACATGCCCAGGTTATGTACCATTGACTCACTTCGAAGTGGTTATGTGATTTAGAATTGGACCCAAAAAAAGACCGGGGCCCAGTTGTTCCAAAGACCGATTAGCACTAACCCAGGGTTAGATTTTAACCCCGCGTTTCTTTTTTCTTTTAATCAAAAGCATTTTGTCAGATAATTTTCTCTTTTCTTTTTGAAGTATCAAATCACCAAATTGTAGACAAAAGGAATTATTCAAATGAATTTGTTTTTAAAACTTTCATATCTGAATTCATATTTCGTACTAACCTTGGGTTATCTTAACCCAGCTTTGAACAACCCAGCCTGGAAGGATAAATGCTGCATGTTAATTTGTTTCACCGCCGTAGTTTTTTCTTTATAGCTTTAAACTTTTCATGATACAAGGCCAACTCAGAGCTCCTGTAACCCAGTAGGGGTCTGTTCATTTTTTATAGGGGGGGGGGGGGCTTTGTCGGGTGGGATTTGACTGGTAGCTCCTGTATATGAAGACCCTCTCTTCATCAGATTTTTTTTTGGAAAGCCACAACCCCGCTCCTTGTATCCCAAGATCAAATAACCAGGATTCAGGTGAATTTTACTCAGCAAAAATGCTATGACTTTTTTGGATTGAATGGGTAGTACTTCATGAACAGTAAAACTCAAAATCAACATTAAAATCACTGAAACTCAAAAATTAGCCTTTCATAAATTTGTCGGCTGAGTTAATGTTCAAATAAAATTGTGAGCAGTTTCACCATATTTTGTTGTAGTATTGGCTGTTGGGTTTTCAAAATGTGGTCATTTTTAGGAAGCCTACCATCGAGATGCGGTCATCTCTAGGTGGGCAGTCAAAACTACAACAAATACCGGTTAAACTAAAATTGTTGGTATTAATTTGAATTAAGTTTGTTGGTTAAATGACCATGAGGAAATTATGTACAAGTGAATAATCACAACCCTGAGTTTGAAATCCACAAAACTTTTTATTTTGGACCAAATTTGATTCGTTCTGTAAAAAGACTAACAGAAGAAATCTGTGACTGTAAAATTGTCAAAAAAGTAACTGGTTTCTGATTACTTTATATTAAAATGACAGTGCATATAAAACAGTTAACAGGAAAGATGCATGTAGGGGGTTGAACCTCTGGGCGGAGTCTCACAGCGTGTACAAAATTTTACTGTAACAATGTAATGTTACAGTTGAGATTGAAAATTTACTTTGGTCACAAAACGAATCAAACATATATGAAATGTCACATGCACATCACCTTTGACTGTCAGCAAATGTTATGCAGTTCACTACATTTGCTCCCCTTACAAATGTGGATAATTATAATACAAAAGTTCAAATTTATGATACGGCCAAATGTGTAGAGATTTATTGTTTTTGCTCTTAAGGCAAATACGAGTAAACCACATACAAAAGTGCTCTTTTGGTATCCTGGAAAAACAAGAGCAAACACCACTGCAAATTAGGGGGTTTGCAATATTTTTGCCTGCATTTGAAAGTACAGTGAAAACTGTCATTTTTGCCAAGGACGTAAATTTGAGTAAATTGGTAGAAATGTTGAAGATTTGCCCATGCTGCAAATATGTATCAAATTTGTATCAAACCATTACATTTACTTGACTTTTGCGTATCAATACCTATCTAGCAAATATATGTATTTGCCCACACTTTAGCCGACAGCGCAAATGTAATGCAAATTTGGAGCTCCAAATTTACCACATATTTGCACCTTTCGCAAACATTAGTAAATCCGTTTTTTCGTCCAGTGTCAGGGACACCCAACGACGGTATCCTCCTAAATACGTTGATACACTTTTTAAGCTATCCAGAGTACTTTTAGATCTCTAGAAATGCATTCTAAGCGGCGCTATAAAATTTGTATCAGTTCGGTCATCCTAGGAGAACTTGGGTGTTTCCGAAATTACGAAGGATTCAGTATTATTTTCCTGAACATTTTAGATGCAATTTAAGATAATTTAACGTATTGCGAAGGAGAGAATTTTTCTGATTCCTCTTTCCATCACATTTTTGTATCCGAAAATCTTAGGTTTCCTTTTTTATACAAAAAATAGCCAATGTGAAAAATAAAACCCCAGAAAATCTTAGGGAATTTATTAGATGAACTTCGAAAATTGTACATCAATTGAACGGTCATCTAGAAATAGCTAGAAATTTTTAGCCGTCCTCAAGTGATATAAAATTCTACGCAATGTTTCCTTCTCTGAACAGATATTTTACAGAAAGCAGTCGTTGAGTGCCCCTTACGTTTCTGTCATCTTTTACCGACTTGCGATGTTTTCCGGCCCCTGGCGATCCCAGAATTCTGTGCGCATAACATAAGTCTCCGGTTACTGGAAGATCATTCATTAGCTGTTTCATTTTTCATAGATTCACCAGATTGTTTTTCTCCTCAATTCCAGACCCCTCTTCACCTCTGTGTTGCAGTCAATTCTCTTTATATAGCGGACACTGTAGAGACCTTGAGTTAGAGTCTTCATTAGCGAAAGTCGTTAAGAGCCGGTGTTTATATGAGTCAAACATCTGCAATTTATTTTTGCCTGGAATTTAGCTGCTGTCCGTATTACCGGGGTGTCCATTATATTTGGGTGTCTGTAAGGCGAGAGTTGCATGACTGTAACATAAGTATTTTGTATGCAAAGTCACTTTTACACGGCGTAAAGTGTTGAGTTGGATGGTTTACAAAAAAACTGAAGAAAGTCACAGCGCATGTAAATTGCGGAACAAACTAGAGCGAAGCCAAGTACAGCTGCCAACATTACAACTGCTGATTTGTCATATTTTTGGAATGTCAAACCTAAATGGTTAAAACGTAGCTGTTTTGCCAAGATGGCTGATGATCGAGTTTGTCTGTATACAACTGTTACCATGGAAATGAAACGGTAAATTAACGTGCAGCTGCAAAAAATCTCAAGGACTGTAGAACATATGCTTAAAACCATTATATGACTTGTGAAGGAAACGTTAGATTTAAAACCATTGTAGCAGAAAAAATCATAAAACCAAGAGCGATTAAGCCAAGAGAAAATGTTAGTTGGGTGACACGTCGCGCAGTCATAAAGTTGACGTATTTCAGTGGCTTCACAACAGCCATATACCGATCTAGTGCCAAGCTACACAGGTTCATTGTAGAGGCGTACGCAAAGAGCCACCTTATAAAATCCACCCAGGACGCATATGGTTGGGGCCAGTTGCAGCCACCTCTGATGTGACAGACGAACAGTGAAGGAGCAACGAACGCCCCAACACAGAAATCCGCCACTGCAAGTGAAACGATGAGCGCGTTGGTTTTGGTGCGAAGCCGACGCTGACCGCCCACAAGAAGCACGGTGAAACCATTTCCCGCTATCTTCAAAATGGACAGAATCCAACCAAGAATCCAAAACCAAGTTCCCATTTTATATACTGTACAGAGCTGTAGCTGGGCGTTCAAGTTTATATCTTTAATTTGAGAGAAACCGGTTTGGTTATTTCATATACATCTGGTAACGTTTGCTTCGACGTTTACGCCTTATATGTGACGAACATGATATATCTGATATGTCAATTTTTGATCACTAAGTTGACTGTAGGACAGCAAAAGCATTTAGACCAATTAGAAGGGTCGGTTTTCAATTTCGTTCTTCACATTTGAATAAAACTCAAGCTTAACTCAACGAAAGACAATTTTCTGGAGACTTCAAGCTCCTATTATTAAATGCAACAAGCCGCTCTAGAGTCTTATTTTGTCTTGACTACACCTGTTGTTAATTCTAATAACCGATATTAATTAAGCGATTATAACTGTGTAGCCATGTATAAGGCTTGGGCTTAGCCCTTGGTTTTCAAACATCTTTTCAAATGATACGTTTTGCTTTGACATTTGACAGTACAGATGAAAACTTTAGCTACCTGTGGTATTGTTTTCACTTTTCTATTCGTTTTTTACTACTTCTTGATCCAAAAATGTTGGTCAGGCAAGGTAACAATCTTAAATGAAAAATTACGATATTAATTTATTTTTAATGAGTATTGTCTCGTCGATGGTTATTTAAAATTGTCTTATAATCAGCCATCAATCAAAAGCACTATCTATCTCCTGAGTGAAGTGGAAGCTAACGTCAAAACACTAGAGACAGGTGAATTTTACTCTGAAGAGGAGTTGTTAAAACCTTTATCAACCGGAGATCGAGGAAAAATGAAGTAATAATGACGAACGGGAATTTATTACAAAATGCCTATAGTTTACATCACAACACTAGGCGTAAACAGCGCAATTCATGCTGACGTCATCTTTTGATAGTTCGGTTCCAACCAGAAGCTAGCTTGCGTCGCAGACACTCTTAACAGCCTTCATGCATATTATAGCAATGGTCTAGAGATACGTGGGCCGGCTACAACGCAAGCAACCAGAAAGGCATTGGTTCTTCTGTTTCTCCAGTTGCAAATTTGAATAACTAAAACAATTTTTGTAAATAATGATGTCTCCTACACGTTCACTAAGTTTATTTAGAGCCTACATGTCACAGCTCAAAATTAAATAAGGGCTAAAATTATAAACCTCTTTGTTTCCTAGCCCTAATTATTCATGAATTTAAATCGACCAACCTCATAAGGAAGCGTTTTTTTCCTTTTAAGGCTTTCTTAATGTCACGCTTGAAAAAAGCGTATGCCAAAGGGTTTATTGCAGAGTTCAGAACTAACATAGGTATTCTAAATTTAAAGTCACTTTTACACGAAAGGTGTGGATGTCTACGATTTCCTGATAACTGAAGAAAGCTACAGCGCAAGTAAGTTGCGAAACAAGCCAGGGCGAAGACCATCACAACTGCCAACATTACAACTGCTGATTTGTCATATGTGTTGAATGTCAAACCTTGGTGGTTGAAACGTAACTGTTTTGCCAAGATGGCTGATGATCGCGTTTGATTGTACACAACTGTTGCCATGGAAATAAAACAGAAAATTAACATGCAGCTGAAGAAAATCTCAAGAAGCGCGCAACATACGCTTACGACTATTCTACATAACGAAAATGTTGAATATAAACTCATGGAAACAGAAAAATTGCAAGACAAAAAGGGATAACCCAAGAAAAAAATATTAATTTAGTGATACGTCGCGTGGTCATGTAGTTGACGTATTTCAGTGGCTTTACAATAGCCACATACCGATCTAGTACGAGGCTGCTCAGGTTCATTATAGAGGCGTACGCAAAGAGCCACCTTACAAAATCCACCCAGGACGCATAGAGTTGAGGCCAGTTGCAACCACCTCTGATGTCACAGAAGAACAGTGAAGGAACAACGAACGCCCCAACACAGAAATCCGCCACCGCAAGTGAAACGATCAGTGCGTTGGTTTTGGTGCGAAGCCGAGGTTGACCGCCCACAAGAAGTACGGTGAAACCATTTCCAGCTACCGTCAGAATGGACAGAATCCAACCAAGAATCCAAAACCAAGTTTCCATTTTGTTATCGGTCCAGAACTTTAGCTGGGCGTTGAAGTTTATGTCAAAGAAAAGTTTTGTTATTTTATAAACATCTGGTAACGTTTGCGCCTTATATCTGACGAACATGATAAAGGTAATCAATACGTCAATTTATGATTGCTAAGTTGACTGCATAGGACAGGAAAAGCATTTAGACCAATTGGAAGGGTCGGTTTTCAATTTCGTTCTTCTTCACATTTAAATAAAACTGAAGCTTAACTCAACGAAAGACAATCTTCTGGAGCGTTCAGGCTCCTATTATTAAATGCAATAAGCCGCTCTGTCTTATTTTGTCGTGATTCACCTGTTGTTAATTCTAATAACCGATATTAATTAAGCGATTAAAACTTTGTTGGTTGTCAACAATAGATAAACGTTTATGCAAAACGTGGAAATAGCCTTCCTATTTTGGCTTTTGACTACATTAGATGGCATTTAGAAAGAATTGTGGTAAGTTAGTGATAATACACTAAAACTAAACATTCCAAGTTCTGTATTTGGAAGGAAATTTTCGAGCCACATGAAGCGCGAAAATGAAGAATCTTTTGACCTTGTAGAATTTGTAGCATCAGTGAGCCATGTGGATTTCGTTGCGCGTTTTCCATCAAATCGACGGTTTTTTCAGGAAATCGTCTCATATATCAAGAATTGTTTTGCGTGGTAACGTTACTAGAGAGTTCGAGCACAACTACGACGACGACGAAGAAGGAAAAGAGACAATATTAAGGTTTATTAAGCAAAGCAAAAACTCTGAACGTGCAGCGCAATTTTTGGCAGATTCTTTCGCCCGCCATCATCGCATGCGTCCCATTTATGGAATTCGGATTGCGAAATCCAGGAAATTTTTGCTTGGAATCCGAAATCCTGGGCTTTGGAATCCGGAACACAACTTAATGAATCCGGAATGCGGCAAATGATGGGAATCCGGAATCCAAGTTTTAATGACAAAAGTCAGGAATCCTGGACCTGGAATTCGGAATCTACGGCGTCGAATCCAGAATCCAAGAGCGTCTTAATTCTTGGATCCCCTTATATGGGGCGAATCGCACAACTATTGTTGTTAAATTAAAATTGAACGGATGGCAATGCGTTCGTCTCTTTAATATCTTAAGGTCGTCGCTTCATCAGAAGCAATCATCGAAACTTCGATTTCGTCAGAATTGACCATATAGAGAGGCTCATCAATAGCTATGGGATCCATCAGAATAGTTTTATATCCTTCTCCATCACCTTCTAATTGCAATGTAATCTCCATTATGTTCAACTTTGCATGTCATGCGAATCACAAAAATAGCATGTATCCCAGTGGAAAATTACCTGCCTTGTAAACAAAACAAGCTTACTGGGTTCAATGGAAATGCATTCTTATTATGAAGAGGGGACTTGTGCTTGGCCTTTGGTTTTCAAATGTATTTTCAATATGCTTTTTCCTTTGGCATTTAATTTGACAGTACAGATGTAAACTTTAGCTACCTGTGGAATTGTATTCAGTTTCCTATTTGACCCCAAATATTGTTCAGGCAATCAAGGTAATAATCTTAAATGAAAATTTACAATATATTCGTTTTTCATTGCTATTGTCTCGTTGATGGTTGGTTTTAGGCCGGGGGGGGGCTACTGCTATATATGGGCTATATGGGTATGTGCCGCTGTAAAGGGTATGGTTTTCAAGCAGTTTACGCTGGGATAGGGCATATAAATCAGAGAGTTTGGGTCTAAAAGAGGGTATCATTTTCCATCTGAAACTAATCAATTGGCTGAAGATTTTAGTCTAGACTAGGGAAACCGGGAATTGCCACTCAAGAATATAAAAACATCAAATCGGTTTTGTTTTGGCTGGACTGTGCTAGCAACCTCAGTGGTATAGGCTAAGGGTTTCAGGGTCCCAGCGGCACATCCCCACCCCAAAATTCTTAAAGTACCCCCCCCCCTGGGGTTTTAGGGCCCTGGAAGCCTCCAATATGAGTTATTTACAGCCATTTAAGCATAATTTATAATCAGCCAATCAAAAGCACTATCCACCTCTTTGGTGAAGTGGAAGCTAACGCCTTATACTTGAAAAAATAAATAAATAAAAGAGAAAACAAAAAACACTAGAGAAAGGTGAATTATACACTAAGACGATTCTTTAAACCTTTATCAACCGGAGACCGAGAAAAAAATGAAGTAATATATAATGACGAAAAGGAATTCATCACCGTAATGCCAATGTTGTACAATTTCTTTGGTTAGGGCTGCACACATCACAACACTTGGAGTGAAAAGTGATACTCCCGCTGACGTCACCTTTTGACATTAATGTGCCAACCAGAAGCTAGCTTGCGTCGCAGACACTCTTAACCGCCTGTATATTATATGAGGGTCCCCAATGGGGTTCTTCAATCCCGTAATCCCGACCCAAAATTTCGTGCAATCCCGTAATCCCATTTTTATTTTTGGCATCCCACCTTACGGGCATACTTTCAATCCCAAATCTTGCCCCGATTTTACTTTATAATCCCGAATCCCGGGCCTCAAATAAGGGATATCCCGGATCCCGAGAAACCTATTGGGGACCCTCTTATATCAATGGTCTAGAAGATACGTGGGCCGCCTGCAACGCAGGCTAGATTAGCATACTTTCGATCCCGAATCTTGCCCCGATTTTGCTTTATAATCCCGAATCCCGAGCCTTAAATAAGGGAAATCCCGGATCCCGAGAAACCTATTGAGGACCCTCTTATATTAATGGTCTAGAAGATACGTGGGCCGGCTGCAACGCAGGCTACCAGAAACGCATTGGTTCTTGAAATAAAACATTCATTGTAAATTTGAAGAAAAAGCACAAGTTTCAAGTTCAAGTTTATTAAAAACACTTTGCATACATGCCATGATTAATCCTTGCCCGCAAAGAAGCTTGATATAAACATGAGAGGGGTTGGGAGAATTCGAGACAGTTATGCAAACCCGAGACAACGTCTCGGGTTTGCATAACTGTCGAGAATTCTCCCAACGTCTCGAGTGTTTATATCAGGCTATGCAAACACAGGAAGAAGTTTTCTGTTGCTTTTATAAAATAAATTTCCCGAGAAAAAACGCAAAACTCTTTGTATGGCTTTGATTAAAAGACAAATTCGCACTAGTCTAGTCCACGAAGTCTTGAAAACAGAATGAAAACAGAACAAATTACAAGACAAAGAGGGAAAGCCCAAGAAATTAAAGTTAGCTGGGTGACACGTCGAGCAGTCATGAAGTTGACGTATTTCAGTGGCTTTACGACAGCCATATACCGATCAAGTACAAGGCTGCACAGGTTCATTATAGAGGCGCACGCAAAGAGCCACACAGAAGAACAGTGAAGGAACAGCGAACACCCCAACAAAGAAATCTGCCACCGCAAGTGAAACGATCAGTGCGTTGGTTTTGGTGCGAAGCCGACGCCGAATGCCCACAAGAAGTACGGTGAAACCATTTCCAGCTATGGTCAAAATGGACAGAATCCAACCAAGAATCCAAAACCAAGTTTCCATTTTATATTCGTAACTTAAGCTGTGCGCTCAAGTTTATGTCTTTGAAAGAAACCGGTTTGGTTATTTTATAAGTGAACATCTGCGGGTAACGTTTCCGCCTTATATCTGACGAGCATGACATATCATACGTCAATTTTTGATTACTAAATTGACTTTAGGACAGAAAAAGCATTTAGACCGATTAGAAAGGTCGTTTTTGGAATTAGTTCTTCTTCCCTTTTGAATGAAACTCACTTTTAACTCAACTTAAGACAATTTTCTGGACACCTTAGCCTCCTGTTATTAAATGCAGTAAGCCGCTCTGTCTTATATATTTCGTCTTTATTATATGGCTGAGTCTGTTTTCGCCATGCGATTGGTCAATTTGCGGTCCGTAACTTGCTATACGGACCAAAATTTCTAAGAAAATGCTCATTTTGGAGCTCTAAATCTCTTTACCTCGGAAAAAAGGTTGAAATTAAGTTACAAGACGTCTATCAACCTTGAGGACTTAGATTCTGACTTTGTCCTTCAACATTTTAAGCTGTGTTTATTTGTGAACGAAGGCGATGAAGAAACTAACTCGTAATCTTATCGAAGAGGATTCTTAAGTCAGTGTTTGAACATTTTATCGTAACGGTATTACACAGTTAAGAAGGCGAAAATCGACTGGCAGAGATTCGAGATGTTTTGCCTAAGAGAAAATGAGTAATTCCTTCGACAAATATGATAACAAACATGCCTGCACCCAATCATCTTGACGAGCTTCTTTGTCATTTGCAGTGTTTTTCCAAAGACCAACGAAAGAAAGATAGAAGCGACTCCGAGCTAGACACAATGTCCAGTTTTCAAAAGACTCCAGCGTCACATTGGCGACTGAATACTTACAGTACTCTTAGTTTTAAACGAATATACTTAAAAGTATGTCTGTAAACCCTAAGGACTGGGATGTTGACTTTGCCTTTCCAGATTTTAGCCTAGCTTTGTTTGAATGAGAACGAAGCTGATGTAGAAACTGAATCGTAACCTTTACGTGGAAGAATATATGGTCCGTGTTTAAAAAAAATTTTAACGCAGATTACGCTTGAAGACGAAAATGAACTGGCAGAAATTCGAGAGGTTTTCCCCAAAAAATTAAGGAGCGAATCCCTCGACAATGACAACAAACTTACCTTGAAAGGCTTCTTGCCTTGTACAGAGTGTGTGTGTGTTTTTGTTAACAAGGACCAACGGAGGAAAGATAGAAACGACTTCGAGAAAGACACAGTGCCCGGTTTTCAAAGTACTCCAGCGTTACATTAAAGAGCTAAAACTTACAGCGCTCTTAGTTTGGACCAAATAAACTTTTTCAACATGGCCAATTTGTTTTCACTTTCTCGTGAGCCAATAAAAATTTTCTTTCTTGACGCCTGTCAAATGATTAATTGTCAAATCGCGCGTCCTGCACTTGTTTCCGGTCCCCCAAACTGGAAGCCATATAATAAACATCTTAGTAGCCTCGCTTTTTCGGTCCGTACTGTAAATTATGGATCCTCGTTTTTTTCCATCGATTTATGGCCCGCGCGCTTCGAGCCTGGACCTTAAATCGATGGAAAAAAGCTCGGTCCGTAATTTACAGTATGGACCGAAAACTCGTCTAATAAGAGGTATTTATTCACCTAGCTGTTGTTAATTCTAACAACAAGTGATAAAAAAAAAATCAATATAAAGAGCGAATTAAACTTTGTTGGATGTCAAGAAATTAATGAACGTTTAATATCAAAGCGTGGAAATTATTAAATGGCATTAGTGATAATACACAAATAGCAATTATTATTCATTCAAAATATTTCCCCGATTCTGATTGCCTAAAAGCACACGCATAATTCGCCATAACCAGCTACCGATGACCAAATTTGGAAGAATTTTGCGTTTAATGAACCGATGACGTCGAAAGTGCAGCTTTTTTGCAGGTTAATGCACCGTTAACCGAGAAGACCTGGGGACGTGGTTGAGTTGTTTTGGTTGTGAGAACAAAAATGACGGACATTTCACTCGTTTCAAGAGTAAGAACTAGGCGAAATAATAGCTAAAAACATGGCAAGAACAGCAAGAAGACAACTCGAACGGCGACATCTGCTATTTGGAGAATATTTGCGGAGCTGAATAAAACCTAAACGTGAACTATCGAAGATGAACTTAGCATCGATGGATCGATGGAGGTAAGCATGTTTTAGCTATGGTTTGAAACTAGGAATTATTTCAAATGAATAATCTTCGTTAAACGTTTATAAATCCTAGATCAAGAAAAACACAGTAATAATAACAAACAGGAGTTTTTGACAAAAATATCTTTATTCTGTCCATGGTAAGAGCTTCACATCTTATCACAATTTTTTGAGAGAATACGTGCACTAAGTTTCCTTGAAGTGCAATCTAAAATGAAATATTTACTCCATTAAACGCCGCAGATAGAGGTAAATCTACCAAATGTCGCCTTTTAATAAGCGCCCCACCAAAACGGAATAATGCAGCGTTTATTCGAGGGTATTAGGGAACACCTCGGCACAAATTAGTATCAACACCTTCCCATCAATTAACGATTCCATCTCTCAACAAAAAAAAAATGAAAGAGCGAGACTTTTGAATCTTAAACTGAAAACATCCCTCTGGTTTACATTTTATTTAGAATTGATTTATGGTAATTTTTGTCATTTTTAAGTGAACACCGCCATCAATGAATGCCGCCCTTGAATGATCGCCGTATCGGAAACGCCGCGGTGTTTCATTGAATATATTATCGAGCAACCTCAGAGGTAAGCTTGTGTCCTTTTAATGCCCTTTTAATGTCACGCTTGAATAAAGCGTAAGCCAGAGGATTTATGGCCGAGTTCAGAACAAACATTGGTATTTTATATTTGAAGTCATTTTTACACGAAAGGTGATCATGAGTTGTTTGGTTTCCCCAAATCTGATCAAACGCACATCGCATGTAAATTGCGCAACAAGCGAGAGCAAAGCCAACCACAACTGCCAACATGACAACTGCTGATTTGTCATATGCGTTGAATTTGAAACCTCCATGGTTGAACCGTAACTGTTTTGCCAAGATGGATGATGATCGAGTTTGCTTGCATACAACTGTCACCATGGAAATAAAACAGAAAATTAACATGCAGCTGAAGATAATCTCGAGTAGGGCAGAACATACGCTTAAGACTATTCTACATGAAGAAAATGTTAAATACAAAACCATGAAAAAGGCAAAAAGTACAAGACAAAGAGGGATAACCCAAGAAATTAACGTAAGTTGAATGACACGTCGCGCAGTAATGAAGTTGACGTATTTCATTGGCTTTACAACAGCCATATACCGATCCAGTGCTAAGCTGCACAGGTTCATTATAGAGGCGTACGCAAAGAGCCACCTTATAAAATCCACCCAGGACGCATAGGGTCGAGGCCAATTGCAGCCATCTCTAATTTCACAGAAGAACAGTGAAGGAAAAGCGAAGGCCCCAACACAGAAATCCGCCACTGCAAGTGAAACGATGAACGCGTTAGTTTTGGTGCGAAGCTTTCGTTGACTAATCACGAGAAGCACAATGAATCCATTTCCAGTTATCGTCAGAATGGACAGAATCCAGCCAAGAATCCAAAACCATGATTCCATGTTATTATCGGTACAGATCTTTAGCTGAAAGTAGTACGTTATTTTTTGAGTTCCTTGAAAAAGAAAAGTAATGACAATTTTAACTTACACACATCTGGTAACACTTCCAGCGTCGTGAGCTTCTTAACTTACGAGCCGATGATAATAGGCGTATACGTCAATTTATGATTGCTAAGTTGAGACCAATTAGGAGGTTGGTTTCAAATATATGTTGCTCTTAAAATGTAAATGAAGCTCTTAACTCAACGAAAAAACATTTTTTGGAGACTCAGTGTCGCTGCCCTTGGCAATCAAGGCTCCGGTATCCGCATCCCTTTTATTTAGTCATGGATCATTCGTTGATAATTTTTATATCCGATATTAATTGAAGGAAACGAACAAAATGAGAGATTAAATTTTTGCGGCTGACAAAAATTCAATCAACCTTTATGCAAAGAATAGAATTTCGAATCTCCTTCCTATTCTGGTTGCAGACTTAATTACATGATATCAATGGAAACTATCTTCTTTTTATTTTTGATAATGCACACTGAGACTAAACATTCTGTATTATGTATTGAGAGAAAAAATAGATAAAGCTGGCTTATCTTTTCTCGGAGGAGAAAATTCACTAACGAAATGAGCGAATAACTTTTTTGATACTGGCAGCAACTCACTCAACGTTTACGCGAAGGATCGAATTCGAAATCCTCTTCCCCTTTCGGCTGGTAACGTCATAACATGATATTTAGTAGGAGCTATGTTTAGACTAGTGATAATAGTACACAGAAAGTGAATATACCGAATTCTATATTTGAAGAAAGAACTAAACTAGATAAAGCTGGCTTATCTTATATCTTGTTGTTTGTTCTTAACTTACGTTACTGTTAGGCGATTGGAAAGGGATCAAGATTTCTTAAACTGAAAAACTAATTCCTAACACCTGGCTACCGATATGAATATGATTTTGGGTGATTCGTCCATATCACAATGGCATAACTCGAAAAAACTTGTCTCATGTTGTTTGAGTTCCATTGTTTTTTTTGGTCTTTATTTGACCCCCAAAAAAGTGGCGACAACTTCCCTGCATGAACAGAGTATATACTTCTTAATATATGAACCGACAGATGATTTTAATGATTTTGTTGCTGGAAATACACTCATTTTTCTTAACTTCGTGATATCTTTATATGAATGACAGCGACGAATCGTAGAAAAAACGCTATTTTTTAACAGTTAATAAAAATGGTCTAAAATGGAACAGTGGCATAGGTTGGTTGGTTGGAGGCTCCTTCATGAGTGAGACATTTCTTGCTATTAATGTGACTGTGTGATACAGTTAAGCCTTAATGTGTTGCTTGTGATGGACTGTGTGACTGCGAGATGCTGTTCGCAAGTCCAACCCACAAAAATGACCCTTGTTCGCCAACGAGTCCTCAGTAGCTCAGAGGTCAGAGCATCTAGAACACGGAGGGTCGTGGGTTCGAATCCCATCTGGGGCTCAGATTTTTTCTGTGTCCTCTTATGGTTGATTCTTTACATCTCCCTTTATTTTCCTTTATAATATTAATATCAGTGGCATAGGTTAAAATGGAACATGTACTGTATTTACACGTGCACTTTCTTTTCAGTTTCCGATTCATATCAGCACCACTTCAGTCTGTTTTCCTAGTGACTTATCTCGGTGGTAATATAATTGTTCTCCCAGAGAGGCTCTTCTCTGCAAACAATACTAGCTTGCACATCAGTCTTTTTTATCTTTGTTTATGTTCCTTTTGTAAAAGGCACAAGCCGCCGGGTTAATGACAGTGTTTAAATTAAATCAATATCGGTATAGGTCAGGAGTCGTCTCTGCATTGATTTTATATCGAAAAGATTAACTATACTATATCGAAAATATATTCCATAGCAAATTAGAAACAATTCCGCGACAATTCCTATCTTTGCGAATGCCGATTTGTTGTGCTATTAACTGTCAATCCTCAGTGGCTGAATCTTCACTGTTTTGCCACCTTTCCTACTGTACTGATCGGTCTTGTTCGTGTACAACAACAATTTCCATTGAGCAAAAGCAGAATATTAGCATACAACATGACAAAATCTCAAATAGGAACGGTTAAAGGCTTACTACTAATTTGAACGTATGGCGTGAATGTGAATGCAAAAGAACGATCGTCACAACGCCAAAAGAGATTGCCCATAAGAAAAAAATATCATTTGAAAAACCCGACGACCTGCAGTCATGCAAGTTAAATATTTCAACGGCTTCGCAAAGGCAATGTACCTATCCATTACCAAACTACACAAGTTTTTCAGAGAGGCGCAGCTAAAAAATTGCCACATATCCTTACTGGAATCTAATGTAATATTGTTAGCGGACATGATGGGAATAACTTCCGCTCCAACCGAGAGATCTGCCACTGCAAGTGGATTCAGTTCGTTTTGGTGCAGAGCTTTCGTCTGGTGAAGATAAGGAAGATGGCGAATCTATTACATGCGATCGTAAATGGACAAAAACCAGCCAAGAATCAAAACAACGTGTCCATTTGATAAAGGTTTTAAAACTACTTCATTCGACTAGGTTGATCGGGTAAAATACAGAAAGAAAAAATTTAAGGCAAGTTTGTAAACACCAGCTGGTCGCTTTCGACTATACTGTACCATCCTTTTCGTAATTAACTGAAAGTTGACTACAGCGTAAGTAAATTTTGATAAAATGTGCCATACCTGTCATGAAACTCAAGTTAATTCTCTCTGTTGAATATTTTTTGTTATCCACCGGTGTTTCAATGAAAAGTCGAGGCAATTGCTGTGCTTGACAACATTAATTTAGAGAACTCTTCTGCAAAAGAATAGAACGTTAACGTTCTTTAACAGTCATTTTGGCTGGTGACGTCACAAGATCGTATTTAGTGGGAATTATGTTTAAAATAATAACTGAGTGGGGTGTTTGATCTAAGAATTGAACGTTCTAAATGATGCAGTTCGATTGTAGATCGTAAAGAAGCTTGGTTATGGCGTTAATGTTTGTTTGGTTAGTGAGGAACATTTATATGTAGGGTCCAGTGGTGTGAAGATTGGATGAAGGAAAATATTGAACTCAGAACGCCCTTTCTATTCTAGCTCTAGAAACTCTGACCAGAAAAACGAATACAACACTAAAACAGAAAAAAATTCTTAATACCTGAAATGTTCTTTGAGGGCATGCGGCTTTCGCTGAAATCAGTTTCAATAATTTGTACTTGAATAATGTAAATTCACACAAAAGCAAATTCAGTTTCACATTTAGACTGGCATATGAGCTGGAATATTTTATCCATAGCATTTCAATCGACCAATCAGAAAAACTTCCTGTGTTTCAGGACGCTTTCATTGATGCTTAAAATTTACTGACGGATATTAAACACAGCTGAAATGAGCCAATACTGATACCATACTGCTCACCAACTAATATTTGAATGGTTTAATAAATTTGCAGTATGATATCAAGCTAAAGTTTATTCGAGAGCAAACAAAGATATCTCAGTATGGTTAAAAAAAGAAATCGACTCACAGGTGTGCGGTAATTCATCCCTATGTTTTTTTTGCATGGTCTTTCATGCTTGTGCCGACTTCAAAACAACAACTTTGGCTCATTGTAGGCTTTCACTGTTTAATTATTAAACAATAACAACATGGCTTGAAGCTTTGTTGGTAAATATGAGCAAGTTAGCACTTATTTTTCATGGAAAATTCAATTGTATCAAAACTATAAGCGTTAGAAAGAAAAAGATAGTTCAAATGAGGCCTTTGACTGCTGAAATTATAATTAATAATTAAATTCTGAGCAACAGCGTCATTAGGGATAAGAAAAATGTTTCGCGTGGTAATATACGTAAGAAATAATTTGTGTAAAGTAAAATGTGTGAAAAGCGCAAGAATGGGGCGGAATGTATACGTATCAGAGGTATAAAAATATAAACTTGAATAAAATACAAAGATCTAATGTGCGAGTGTCACAGGACGAAGACGTAATGATAGTCTTCAAAACGAAAGGTCCGCAAATTCGTTGCATTCCTCACGGGAGTTTTGGGTTGTCTCAATGTAAATCAAGCAGCAAAAAAACATGCTGGTTGACAAAATCTCTCGAATAAATTCTAAAATAAAAGGTCAGCAAATACGTTGCATTCCTCACGGGAGGTGAGGACTGGCTCAATGTAAATCGACCTGCGAAGAACACGCTGGTTCTGATAAACGTTTTGAGAATATAAGCCTATGCCTTGATCAACTACCGCTTAAAATTCAACTCACAAAGGAAAAGAGAACACTGAAAACCCTGGTTCTGAGTCGGGAAGCGAACACGCTACCTCAATGTAGAACAAGCTGGTTCTGAGAAAAATTTGAGCGCAAAACCCTATTTTTTAAAGCTGCTGCTTTAAACGCAATTTATGAAGCAAACCAGAGCACTAATTGCCCTTTCAAACTAGAAATTATATTAAAGCTTGCTCACCTGTTAGGTCCTCCTGAACAGACAACGAACAGCACACAGTGAATCACCCAATTGAACACTCCAGAAAATACCCTAACATACCATAATGCTCTTTGTTTTTCACCCCAAAATTTTGCATAAGCATTGTTTTCAGTTTCTCTTGGGGTCATTTTAACTCCCAAGAGAAACTAAAAACATTTAATGCTTATGCAAAATATTGGGGTGTCAAACAAAGAGCATTATGGTGTTTTATTGTATTTTCTGGAGTGGTCAATTTCGGACCGTGAGTTGTAAATAGAAGACTATGACGTCACTACCCAAATATGGGGTCTTACTTACACCCAAATATGGTCAAAAATGCAAATTTTAGAGGGTTACGCCGCTACATTGCGCGGCGTTATAATTCTGCCGCCCAGTCAACGTCGCTTCTTAGCTCGGTTGCCTCGTTGGCAGTTACAACCATTCGGCAAATTCAGCACTCTTCAATGTAGAAAAGCTGCTCAATGTTTTAAATAAAATTGGTACAGCTGAAACCCTTGCATGCTTAACCGGCAACCGGTAATGTTTACTCTGCTTAGTAGGCTTTTACCTAGAG